ACTTACAAATTAGGAAGTACAAACTCCTGAAATAAACTTGGGCTTTGTGAGAAGATGCTCATAGATGTGATCCTTTGTTCAATAGATGAAAATTTGTGCACCCTCTAAAATTTTAAAGTTTAGGGTTACAGAAATCTCTTGAAAAATATTTATGATATTTTTAGAAAAGCAAATATATGCCCTGCCAAGAAAAATTTATGTCTACTCACTATAATAGCGACCATAATGCAAAAGCATAAAATATTTTGGAAAAAGAGAAAAATTAGCTTCATAATAGTTGTTCAAGCTCAAGAACAAAAGAGAGCACAGGTTAAGGGAAGTAAAATATGAGATAATCGTTTAAACTGATCTTGTGTTACACATTTTATCCTAATGAATGCTCTAATCATTGAAGCATTCAGAGCAAGGAAATAGCAACTTTCAAGAGTACAAAGATTTATCAAGTGGACTTTTGTTATCAGTATATAAAGTTTGGTATGGTTTACAATAGATGAGCTCAAGAGGTTGATTTGCATTATTGTAAATAAATTTTATAAATTTATGCACTTTCCCTTAATTTCCTCCCAAATCAATCACTTTCTCCTAAATAATTCTTTCAGCTTTGAATTCAAATTAGATCTCTTTCCCTAATTAATTTCCTCCCAATTGTAATTAAAAATTTCTAAACAATTTGCCCTTGCTACCTCCTTACATAATAAATATTAACTCCTATGATCTTTCCCTAAATAATTCTCAGATTTAAAATTTAAATTTGATTTTTCCCTAATTAATTCCCCCTAGGTGTAATTAAAATTTTTCTAAACAATTCCCCCTTTCTCTTCTTTCCTACCACCGCCCACCGGCTCAACCGCCGGTCCACAATACTACCCACCCAAAAAGCCACCTTGTCCTCAAGGTGGAAGGATGGGAACTGTCTAGTCAGGGGTGATATGTCTAGTCATGGGCGATCACATTTAAGTAATTTGGATAAACATATATAATGCTCCTTAGTCACCATCCTCTGCTCCAGTAGAAACTTCAAACTCATATGATCTGTCCTGAGGATAAAGTGTCACCCCAACAAATAGGGTTGCCACTTTTGGATGGCTAAGATAATTTCCATCAACTCCCGCTCGTATACAGATTTGAGCCGCACCTTGGTTGTGAGCACCTAACTGAAATAAGCAATGGGTCGATGATCCTGTATGAGTATTGCCCATAGGCCGTATCCTAATGCATATGTCTCCACCAGGTACACCCACCCATGAGCATACTCATCTTCAAATATCAACATCTTCCACTTCCTCACCCTTGCATCTCCACTCCAACTTCGTCCCCTTCCAACGGTTTCCCCCGTGCATCGAGGGTAGGACTCTGACCTCTCTTCCATCCTCCTCACATGACTTGATCCCCACAGCTTGGCTCGACCCTTTTCATCTCCGGTCACCAACTCAACTTACCCAAAATATCTTCCATAGTGGTCGGCCACCTCCACCATAAAATTCCCTCCTTGCAGTCTCCCCATCATGAAATCCTGATATGCCCCTTATCAAAGCCCTAAGAGATTGTTCTTGATGAAAGAAACTCTTCTCATTGAACTCCTCCTATTCGATCACATTTCCCTTAGAATCGGCCAAGGGAATCCCGATCAAATTTTAGTTAGGGTTAATCAGAACCATCAGTGGAGTTTTTGATTGCATCTCCATGAGCTTCCTCATCATCTCCTCCAACCTTCCAAATCAGCTCTCCATCTGATTCTCCATAGTTGGAAAGTTCTCCTCCATAAAAGATTTGATTTGCTCCATTTCTCCTTGTAACACATCCACCTTCTTTGCTGCCATCTCTCCAAAACATCGCTATGATATTAATTTGATAGGAAGTTGATGCACTTTTCACAAAAATCAATGGATGAAACATGAAAGATTGCGAAGAAGAACGGCCCAAAATAATTTTTATTGAAAGAACTATAAAGTGAAATGCAAGATACAATTGGATTTTCAAGTGGAAAGGAAGATTCGGCTCTCCCAAATCCCTAGCTGTCAGCTAAAGTCCAAATACCTTAAGAATAAATTAAATTCAACAAACTCCAAAACATAATATGAAATCACCTTACTGCTAGCCTTAAACAGGCTCTCTAATTCCCTATCAAATCAACCCCCTTTTCCTAAATAATTCTCTCTCATATTTGAATTCAAATTAGATCTCTTGTCATAAACAATTCACTCACAATTGTAATTAAAACTTTCATAAATAATTTCCTCTTGATTCCTCCTCCCTTTCCATAAATAATTCCCTCTTAGATTTTGAATTCAAATTAGATCTCTTGCCATAAATAATTCTCTCCCAATTTTAATTGAAAAATTTCCTAAACAATTCCCCTTTGATTAAAAATCTTCCTAAAATTGCAGTACATCAACAACAAAAAAAAAAATAAAAAATTGGATGCATGCAAGATCGATTGTTTTCTTCCAATAGTTCAATTTTGTAATTAAACATAAGGCAGGAAAATCAAATAGAGTTGCAAATGCACTGAGCAAACGTTTAGCCCTCTTGACTCATTTTCAAACAGATATTACTGGTTTGCAATCCCTTCAAGAATTATATGCTGCTGATTTTGATTTTGGAAAATTTTGGGAAGCTTGTGTGGCAGGACAACCAATACAGGATTACACCTTACATCATGGGTTTTTATTTAAAGGCAACAATTTATGCATTCTAGAGTCATCTAGGAGACCGCAACTAATTAAGGAAATGCACAATGGAGGTTTGGCTGCTCACGTCGGACGAGTAAGACACTAGAACAACTACAAAACCATTTTTTATTGGCCACACTTGCGCAGGGATGTCCCTTGATTCATAGAGAAATGCACGGTTTGTCAGGCTTACAAAGGTATTGCTCAAAACACCGGCCTTTATCTTTCCCTCCCAATCCCAGATTCCATTTTGGAAGATTTAATTCTTGATTTTGTTTTGGACCTACCTTATACTAAACGAGGAGTTGATTCTATAATAGTTGTTGTCAATCGTTTCTCCAATATGGCACACTTCATTGCGTGCAAGAAGACCTTTAACGCTATCAATATTGCCTATCTCTTCTTCAACGAGATTGTTTGATTGCATGGCATACCTCGTAGCCTCACCCTGACTAGCCTGTTTTTGAAGGAACTTTGAAACGTTTAAACATTGACCTCAAACCCAGTTATGCTTATCATCCTCAAACAGATGGTCAGACCGAGATCGTCAATAGAACACTAGGCAACATACTTCGATCTCTCGTCCAAGAATATCCTAAGAGATGAGAAGACCTCCTCAGCCAAGTGGAATTTGCCTACAACTCAATGTCCAATCGTTCTACTGGTTGCTGCCCGTTCCAAATTGTTTACACCAAGCAGCCTAACCACCTTATGGATTTAGCAATCCTACCGAAGTGCAGTTATGCTTTAGCAAACAAAACAGCAGCCCAAGTGACCAACATCATTAAAACAGTGAAAGCAAGGCTCCAAACATTATCTAACAAGTACAAGAAACTAGCAGATCTTCGCAGGCACCGCAAAATTTTTAATTTAGGTGAACTAGTTATGTTGCGTATGGGTAGAGAAAGATACCCTCAAGGATCATATTCCAAACCTAATAAAAAAAAAATCGGCCCATTTCCCATTATCCATAGAATTAACGACAATGCTTATATAGTAGACCTTTCGTCCACCATTCACACTTCTTCAATGTTCAATTTGGTAGCCATTTATAGCTATCATCCTCCTGATGGCGTCCAGGTTCCCTCTACCTCGCTGGAGATGAGCTCTTCTAAACTAGGGGAGAATTAATGCAGATAACACATGCCTGTGGGACAGTATACGGCATTTTTATTCTCCACTACTACGTTTATGTATATTTCCTTTTTTTCTGTAGTTTCGTACCACACCCTCTTTAGTTCTGATTATCTGAATTAAGTAATACCTAGTATTTTACTGAATTGCTAGTTATATGGCTTGCAAGGGGATAGCAAGGGCATATTGAATAGAAATAGTCTTTACTGAAACTACTATTTCATTGCTTTGTCTTGCCTCAGGCTTCTTCCTTCTTTAGTTGCTGCATCATTTTTCCTAAATAATTCTTTCTCATATTTGAATTCAAATTAGATTTCTTGTCCTGAATAATTCCCTTCCAATTGTATTTAAAACTTATCAAAACAATTCTCCCCTGATTCCTCCTCCCTTTCCCTAAATAATTCTCTTTTGGATTTTGAATTCAAATTAGATCTCTTGCCCTAAATAATTCCCTCCCAATTGTAATTAAAAATTTTCCAAAAAAATTCCTCTTTGATTAAGAAGCTTCCCAAATAGTTCTCCTTGATTAGGAAACTTCCTAATTCCCTCCCAATCAAATCGGCCGGTCCATCAATATACTTTGTCCATTAATTCCATAATTGCAATCTCAAAATGATTATGTTATATAGCTCATTAGGATGCTTATATGGTTCATTAGAAAGCAATTGCTTAGATATATCCATAAAATCCATTAGAACAATGTGGCATGCAAATTTATTTGATTAGCAAGCCATTTGAACCTTTAAACATGGCTAAATCTTTCTCAATTGAGCCGTATAGTGGGACATACTTCATACAAAACCATTTATTTTAATCTCCCATTGGACAAGCATTGATGAATACTGGGGAGAGTCATTGGAGTGACCCCACTATCATACGATACAGTGAAGACTATATAGTATGATTAATTCAATATTGATCATGCATCACGATGATGATCGTCGATACAATTGTTCTGTGATACAGTGAAGACTATAAGTGAACAATTGTTATTTTTGCCAGTTCCAAAAACTTAAGAAAATTGAAATTTCTCTTAAAATACTTGAACTGATCCCTCCACCTTTCTAATGAATGTATGCAATTAATTTGATCGAAGCACTAACATTTATATATATTATTATGATGGTTTACCATTTTGTTCTTACATAAACAAGTGTTTTCAATCAAAATGTATGATAAAATCGAAATCCTTACCTCAATATAGTAGTCCTCGGCATAGAGCAAAGTGGCAAAAAAGTCGCAGTAGGTTGATGGGGATACTGGACAGGTGAGAACCGGTGGCACAATATCATTCCTAATCATCTTTTCAAGGAATTTTGGAATCTCATATTTCGGAAGCACTCTCCGATTACTTATCCCACACTCCAGCAATGACGATGGAGAAGAAGAATTGGATGATGAGCTACTATCAGGACTAGCAACCTTGATCAATGATGGAGACAATATTGGTAGATTCTGTATAAATTCTCTGCTGGGCTCAATCGAAGTTTGGTTTTTTTTCTGCCAAGTAACCGGATTATTTGCAGTTGAGATAAGAACCGAAGGAGGCATTGATGGGGACGATGAAGTTGGCTTTTCAGCCAACTTTGTGGTAGAATCTGGGGTGATTAGCGACTTCACCTGCCAAACTCTCACAGGAGCTTTCGAGCTTGCGCTGTTTGTAGATGAAACGGGAGCCAAAGAAGGCATTTTTGATGCACATACTTTTGCTTGCGCAGCTGGAGAAATAGAGTTCATCGTCGGGGAAGAAGTGTGGAGAGAGCCATTTTTGGACAACAGGGTTGCTACATCTGTCCTCTCCGGCGAGATTTCTAGCTTTTCCGGGCCAAATGGCCCAACGGCCGAAACTGTGTTGATTGTAGATGAGACAGAAGCCAAGGAGGGCTTCTTTGCCGATGGAGCAGGAGCAGCATATGAAGAAATAGTGGAAGAAGGGACACTCGACAGCTGGGAGGCTCTAGCAGAACCCTTCATGATTTGAAGCCTTCCGGGATCAATTGAAAGCCCCGTCACTGAAACATTAGTGTTTGCAGACGAGACTGGAGCAAACGAGGGCTTCTGTGACAGAGGAGAAGGAGAAGTAGACGAAGAAATAGGCGAAGAAGGGAATTTCGACAGCGGGGAGGCTGTATTCGGTGTCTCCGGAGCGTATGTGGAAGAAATCTTTTTGATTTGTAACTTCTCCGGGCATATTGAAAGCCCGGCCACTGAAACATTGCTGTTTGTAGAAGAAACTGGAGAAGAGAAAGGTTTACCCGACAACGCAGGAGGCTTTGAGAAATCCCTACCTGAAGAAGAAAAAGATGGAGAATAGAAGTTGGTAAAGTTAATCCGATTTCCATCGCCTTGGCTGCTGGTTTCATCTAAAAACTTCGAATTTCCTCTTGAACTGACGATGGAGCAAGCGGGAGGGAGAGGAGGCCGAGCTTCATCACGATATACATGATTCTCCGACGATGATCGGCTACTAAGAATCGGCGGGTTAAGAGAAGTATAATCCCTATTGTTTCTGTGGCTGTATAAATCTTGATCTTGCTCATCCTGGCAGCAGCATAGGATGCATCTGAGAGCGTCCAGAAGAAACATCTTTGATGCTGTCGAGGTTTTAGATCGAAAACATTTAGCGGACTGGAGAAAAGGAAAAGCAATAATGCAATAAGGGCATCCATTTTTAAGAGAAGACTACAGGTCGTCGCCCGAGTGGAAAGATGGTCGCGCGCTTTAATTTCTCTCCTATGAAAGGGATGCGAAGCAAGGGTTCTGCTTCTCCGTATACAGAAAAGAAGATCAGAATATCTGATCTTTTTTGTTTATAGACGATTTCTCGCAGTGTTCACAGTGTGGCAGCTTGGCGAGAGGCCGTTAGTGCGGTATGAAGACACTGGCGGGACCGTTGCAGGCTTGAAAACGATCAGGGAAAAACTATTAGGTGGAAATAACGTATAAGTGAGAAGGGCCTATTAAAACTCGGTATAATAATATTTTTTAAAATTTTAAAATAGATTTTAGTATGAAATGGAGATAAAAACCACAATTTTTTTCTCTAATTCATTTTCTTGAGCAAATTGAAATAGGAAAACTAAAATCAAGAATTACTCAAGATTTTTTGAAAGATTTGAAGGGACAAATATCATACCAATATTGAATTATTATGTTGATGTTTTTGAAGAAATAAAATTTATTAATTTTTTAGATTTTGGTGATGAATTTCTTCTTAAATAGCTTAAATCTACGTCATATTTAAGTTTCATATGTGACAATTTTTTTATTGCTTTCTAATACAATTAGATCTGTCAATATTAGACCCAACCCGAATCCGACCTGAAAATTTCGGTTTTGGGTTGACCTGAACCAGAATCGGGTCCAAAAAACTGACCTGTTTACAAAATCGGGTCGGGTTCGGGTTGAACCGGGAACCCGGGAATGACCCGAAATGACCCGGAATTGTTAGAATATAAAAATAAAACAAGAAAGGACAATGTAATCAGGACCGTAGATTAAGTTTTATCCATTATTCTACTGTACGCGTCAATTCTATATATACCCATGTAAACTATTCATTTGATTAAGGAAGATTTTATTTCTTGCTTTCCTCGGTGTATCCTTCTCCACAGAAGGTTTTTGTCTTTCAACATGGTATCAGAGCTAAGTCTCTTCTCCATTATTTCGGTAATCTAATCTGTCTCCTTCTTCTCTGTGTTCTTTCTTCTCCCTCTCGTTATTTTTTTTTTTCCGATGGAAGATTCGTCCAGCTCCATTTCTGCGCTAGAAGCTATCTTGCCCCACCCGCTTATCCCCATTCCCCCACAGCTTAAATTCCTGATCACCCAAATCAAGATTCTTGTCTCAAATCCCTTAACCTCCGAAAATTATCCTTTATGGAAATCCCAAGTCGAGAAAATCTTCTCGGCAAACGGGTTCATGGGATTTCTTGATGGATCGATCAAATGCCCTCTCACGGCGTCTGATATACCTCACCCTGATCGTGAATCTCCTTATCAAGTCTGGTCTCTGTTAGACCAGAATCTTGCTTCCGCGTTACTCTCTGTAATTTCGGTTTCTATTCTTCCCTACGTCCTATCTTTGAAACATTGCGCTGAAATCTGGGCTACCTTGTCTCACCGCCTTCAAGCTTCCACCAGATCGCGCATTGTCCAGCTCAAGAACGAGCTCTACCATCTGTCCAAAGGAGATCAATCTATGACCCAATATCTACTTACCGTCAAATCAAAAGTAGATGCTATTGTTGCTGCAGGCAGTTCGCTCGACTCCGAGGAGATCATTTTTCACACACTAAACGGGCTTCCAGCGAAATATCAATCTTTCAAATCAGCCATTCGCACGAATCTGCAGCCCCTCTCTCTTGATGATCTCTACACGCTCTTGTGTAGTGAAGAATTAAATCTGGCACATGAAGCATCTCAAGAATTACAATCTTTACAACTCTTCGATTCAACATTGGCGTTGGCTGCATCCCGCGGCAAAGGCCGCGGTCGACAACAATATTCAGGACGTGGCCGATCATCAACTCAGCAACGAACAAATCGTTCGTCTAATGCTGCCCCCCAAAATTCACAAAGAAATGATCGTCAAGCCTATCGCAATGTTATTTGTCAGATATGCTCCAAACAAGGACACTCTGCTGTCAAATGTTGGTATCGGCATGATAACACCTACCAAGAAACATCGCACAATCAAGCGTTATTCAGTCCTACGGACTCCTCTCCTCAAGCGGACTGGTTTTTGGATACTGGTGCCTCAACGCATCTTACATCAAATGCTTCTCATCTTCGTGCTGTTGAGCCATACCACGGCCAGTCTCAGGTCACGATAGGCAATGGTCAGCAACTGCCGATCCAATACACAGGTAAAGGTATTTTGCCGACTCCCTCAGGTAAACTTCAACTGAACCATTTGTATCAAGTTCCAAATCTGTCTTTTAATTTGCTTTCTGTTTCTCAATTAACTCGTGATAACTCGTGCACCGTAACATTTTCTTCTGATGGATATAAAATTAAGGATTTGAAGACCAAACGGGTACTACTACAGGGACCATGCCATAATGGTCTATATTCGGTTCGGTCATCCATTCCGACATCCAACTTGGCGCTTCTTGCTGTTCACACCGTTCAAGATTTGTGGCATAGTCGTCTGGGTCATCCAGATTCAAATAAACTTCGCTTGCTAGCTAAACACCATTCAGAAATTCATACAATTCTTGCTACCAAGAACTGTCATACTTGTAATTTAGCTAAAAGCAAACGTTTATCTTTTTCTAATTCTACCTCTACCACTATTGCTCCGTTCGATATTATTCATTCTGATGTTTGGGGACCCTCCCCCACTAAGTCGCTTAATGGTTTTTCGTATTATGTTTCTTTTATCGACGATTATTCAAGATACTGTTGGGTGTTTCCGTTGTTTCAAAAATCTGAAGTTTATTCAAAATTTGTTGAATTTTATCATATGGTTAAATGTCAATTTGCTAGAACTATAAAAATTCTTCGCACCGACGGCGGTGGAGAATATATAAATCGTCATTTTCAACAATTTTGCAAACAATATGGTCTTTTACATCAATATACGTGTCCTTACACTCCTGCACAAAACGGTATCGCTGAACGTAAGCATAGGCATATTGTAGAAACTATTCGCAGCCTGTTACTTCATTCCTCAACACCCCACACCTTATGGACTCATGCTCTTTTCACAGCCGTTCATCTCATTAATATTCTTCCTTCTCGCACATTGAACAACAAAACTCCTCACGAAATCCTGTTTCAACACAAGCCGACTTATTCCCATATTAAAACTTTTGGTTGTTTGTGCTATCCTTGGCTCCGACCGTATTGCAAAACCAAACTTGGCCCTCTCTCTAAACCATGTGTGTTCATCGGCTATGCGTCGTCTCAAAAAGGTTATCACTGTCTTGACCCCAATACTAACAAAATTTATACATCTCGACATGTGGTTTTTACTGAACACATATTTCCTTATGCTCAAATACAGAGATTCACTGATCCTACTAAGACTTCTATCCGCATACCACCCCTGTTATTGGTTCCTGCCTCTTGTATCCCTACTTCCACCTCTCGGATATCTGTGCCTCTCGCGCCTCAGCATTCCTCCAGCCATCACCAAATTCAACAAACCGTGACTGTCCCTTCTCTTCCTCCTATCGCTTCTGACACGATCACGGTTGAAAAACCTGCTCGAACACACCACATGACAACTCGGTCACGCACAGGGCACCTGAAACCCAAAACTGTCTTCAATTTATCTCATCAAATTAACCCGCCAGATCCCACCTCTTATATTCAAGCGTCTAAACACCCTCATTGGCGTCATGCTATGTCCCTTGAATTCCAAGATCTTCAATCTCAAGGGACATGGGATCTTGTTCCTCCTTCACCTCATATGAACGTTTTGGGCTGTAAATGGATGTTTCGCACCAAGTATAATTCGGACGGCTCTATTTCCCGGCACAAGGCTCGTTTGGTTGCTCTTGGATGCAATCAAGAATATGGCATCGACTATTATGAAACGTTCAGTCCGGTAGCTAAAATACCAACTTTCCGCATCCTAATCACAATTGCGTTGCACAATTCCTGGCCCATTCATCAACTAGATGTTTCTAATGCGTTTTTACACGGCTCCCTCAATGAAACTATTTACATGAAGCAACCCGCTGGATTTCAAGATCACACATATCCGACTTATGTGTGCAAACTCAAGAAGGCACTTTACGGTTTAAAGCAATCGCCGCGACAATGGTTTGCTACGTTAACCGGACATCTATCAACTCTCGGGTTTGGTACAAGTCACTCGGATCCCTCTTTACTTATTTCGTGTAAAAATAACATTAGATTATATTTTTTAATATATGTTGATGATATCATTGTTACCGGTAATAATACCACTGCGGTACAAGAACTTCTCATGAATCTTCACGCACGTTTCAACATGAGGAATCTTGGCAAATTGTCTCAATTTTTAGGGATCACTGCTGTCAAAACTGAACAAGGCCTTTTACTTCATCAGCAACGCTTTGCACATACAATTCTTGAAAGAGCCGGTATGCTCAACTGCAAGCCCGTATCCACACCAATCTGCACTAAAGAATCTCCTTCTAGCTCTCCGTCTCCAGATTTTGCAAATCCGCTCCTCTATCGTCAATTGGTAGGTTCGCTTCAATATTTGACTCTTACTCGTCCGGATATTGCTTATGCGGTCAATCGAGCTTGTCAATACATGCATAAACCGACCGATCAGCACTTTCATTCCCTCAAGCGCATTCTGCGGTTCATCAAAGGTTCCTTAAATTTTGGTTTACCTCTTTCTCGTGAATCGATTATCCTAACATCTTATGTAGATTCTGACTGGGCCGGTGACCATCAAGATCGGAAATCGACTTCCGGTTATTGTACCTTCTTGGGAAATTCTGTTGTGGCGTGGAGTGTCAAGAAACAAACAACTGTCGCGCGCTCGTCCACTGAAGCAGAATACCGGGCCTTGGCGTCTGCTGCCACCGAAGTAATCTGGACTCGGACCTTATTACAAGAACTCGGACATCCTCAGTCAGAACCGACAAAGCTCTATTGTGATAACATCTCGGCCATAGCCTTGGCCAACAATCCTGTTTTTCACGCCCGCACCAAGCACATCGAAGTGGATTGTCATTTTATTCGGGAATGTATCAAAAACAACAGTATCAACGTTCATCACATCTCAACTAAAGATCAAATTGCGGATTTATTCACTAAAGCTCTTCCTACGGCTACATTTCAT